GAGAAGGTACATTTTACTTTCTTTTCTGGTTTCTTCCTTGCCAAGTGATTATTAAATTCACACACTGAAAATCCTGAGCGCCTCAAGGACGCTGCTGAGCATTCATTTCGATGATGGACTTTTTACAGTCGATGTCTTGCATTGTTTTACACAACCATGCTAACTTCTCTCTTCTTTTAGATCAAGGAGTACCTCGCCAACCCCGAAGCCTTCGCTGCTGCCGCTCCCGCCGCCGCCGAGGCTGCTCCTGCCGCTGCGGCGCCCGCTGAAGAGAAGGAGGAGGAGAAGGAGGAGTCCGACGACGACATGGTGAGTACTGTTCCTATTAGTCAAGTTTTGGTACTGAGCACGTTGCATGCAGGGCTTCGGGCTCTTCGATTAGTTGTGTGTCGGCGTTCCGCTGTCCGTATGTACTGGATGGGAATAAAATGTGTGATAGACGACCGGCCCGTAAGAACTTTGAGAACGCATGCTTGTGAGGGAAAACCGCGGTCGAAGCACGCTGAGAAGGCAGATTGAGGCAACCGGCGTAAGGTCGGCAAGGTGTGATGAGCATGGATGTTCCGGCTTGGCGGGGATATACGCATCAACGATGACTCTGTTTATGACCATGGCTATGACTTCAGTGCGGTGCAAAGAAATTTCACAGCTATGGAGCGCTTCAATTCCAGTAAATTCCACGCCGGTCGATCGTGAAAACATCGATATCGTCGTGTACTAGTCTTCCTGATCATCGTCTAAATCGAGATACCCCGAGTCGAACGAACGTTTCTCGGTGGCGAAGACCATATCCGATAATCATTCCTAATCTGGAGTATACGGGCGATTTCAAGACTGCATAAGAAACATCGATTTCGACCACCAGCCATGTCCTCCACCCCCGTCGAGCACCCCAAAATGGACGGCGGCCACCTCATCGTCGTCTCCAACCGCCTCCCTATCACCATCAACAAGGATGCGGACGGCGAGTACCACTTCAAAATGTCCTCGGGCGGCCTCGTCTCCGCCCTCTCCGGCTTCAAAAAGTCCCTCAACTTCACCTGGATCGGCTGGCCCGGGTTCTTCATCCCCCCAAAGGACCGGCCCCTCGTCGACAAGCGCCTCAAGGAGGAGTACTCGTGCCAGGCTGTCTACCTCGATGACGATGTCGCCGACCGCCACTATAACGGCTTCTCCAATTCCATCCTCTGGCCCCTCTTCCATTATCACCCCGGCGAGATGAACTTTGACGAGGAGAATTGGCTCGCGTACCGCCAGGCCAATATGCGCTTCGCTGAGGCTGTTCTCCAGCAGCTCACCCCGGGCGCGATGGTCTGGGTCCAGGATTACCACCTCATGCTCCTGCCGATGCTCCTTCGCGGTCTCATTGATGGTACAGCCGCAGGCGAATTTACGGTGAAAGAGCTGTCGAAGATAACGGAGGGAATCGAGGGGGAGGCCTTTTCACCCGCTGCGCCGATTCCTGACATCAAGATCGGATACTTCCTACACACACCGTTCCCCAGTAGTGAAATCTACAGGTGCGTATCTATGATCAATTGAGATGACTACACTGTCTGACCGGTTGTGGTAGGATATTACCCGTGCGGAGAGAGATCCTGCTCGGCGTGTTATACTGTGACCTCATCGGCTTTCACACGTACGACTATGCGCGTCACTTCCTTTCCTCATGCACGCGCATCCTCGGGCTCCCGACCATGCCTAATGGTGTCGAGTTCGAGGGCCGCCTCGTCCACGTCGGCACCTTCCCCATCGGCATCGAGCCCGATTCCTTCATCGACGTGCGTTCCCTTTCTCGCCCGCTCTTTCCAACAGATGCTAATCGGACGTGACATGCCACAGAATTTGAAACGCGAGCCGGTGCAGAATCGCATCACCCAGCTCGAGCAACGCTTCGGCGGCGTCAAAGTCATCGTCGGTGTCGATCGCCTCGACTACATCAAGGGTGTCCCACAAAAACTGCACGCTCTGGAGCTTTTCCTCACTCAGCACCCCGAATGGATTGGCAAGGTCATTCCTCCCCATATCCTTATATGACTGCATGCTAACAAAGTGTGTGAAATACAGGTCGTGCTGGTGCAGCTAGCGGTTCCGTCACGACAAGATGTGGAAGAATACCAAAACCTCCGGTCGACGGTGAACGAGCTCGTTGGGCGCATCAACGGCCGTTTCGGCACAGTCGAGTTCATGCCGATCCATTTTATGCACAAGAGTCTGCCATTTGACGAGCTTTGCGCGCTATATGCTGTCAGCGACGTTTGCCTCGTCTCCAGCACGCGTGATGGCATGAACCTCGTGCGTCTCTTTTCCTCTTTCCCCCTTCTTCCGCTGACAACAATGCCCCAGGTCTCCTACGAATACGTCGCCTGCCAACAAGCCCGCCAAGGCGTCATGATCCTCTCCGAATTCGCCGGCGCCGCTCAGAGCCTGAACGGCTCCCTCGTCGTCAACCCCTGGGACTCGCAACAAGTCGCGGACGCCATCCACGAGGCCGTCACCATGGACTCCCCCACCCGCGCCGAGAACCACCGCAAGCTGTTCAAGTACGTCAACAAGTATAGTGCGGCGTTCTGGGGGTCGAGCTTTATTAAGGAGATGGGGAGGATTGAGACGGCGGATCGGGAGAGGGAGACGGCGATTGGGGAGGGGCGGGCGGAGGGGGAGGAGACGTTGAAGGTGAAGGCGGATGATCCGGCGCCGATGGCGAATGGGACGGGGATGAAGGGAGACGGCGTGCCTATGACGCCGGCGCTGCAGTGAGAGTGGGTATATTTTCCTTTTTTCTCATCGTGATTCGAGCTATGGGCACGTCGGGTTGTTGATGCGCCTGTTTAGGCGGGCTGCGGCCATGGAGGGATTCTATCTTCTATCATTCGCGATTTTTATTCCCTTTTGTCGTTGTTATTTCGTTTTCTCGTCCCGTTTGCTTTTCTTTCCAACTAATGCCGATACATCTGGGCACCCAAGAAGGATTACTCTATATATGAACGTTGTATAGAATGTACGTTACATGCATGAAACTGTAGAGAGCGAAATGCTTGGTTGATCTTCATGACTACTCCTCCTCGAGTTGATGAGTTTTGACAACAAGCAATATTGCTTTGGGCTAGTCTCCCGTAGTCAGACCAAATTCTGACGTTGTCTTTTTTGTGGGGGAGAGGGAGACAAGTGATAGCTTTGGGCCGACTCGGACTCCTGAAGCATTAGCCCCCCTAGGGCCCTAGGTTTACAGTGTATGACCTCGCTTGTGATTTGATATCGTGTCCTTCATTCAGGTCACCGACGCGATCCTTAGAATCTGAGGATGACGACTGCAGAAGAGTTCAACTTGATCGTATCTGTTTTCGGCCGAAGGTGTTGCTTATTATAAGCAAGGCCCGAAATTTCAATCCGAATATGTTACATACACTATTATCCCAGCTGCCTACCACCAGAAAGTCGGCCTGGCTCGAGAATTCCATAGACGAAATCGAATCAGTAGGAGGATCGACCATCTCCACATCGTTTTCTGTGGCTACTGAGGACGAGCTCTGGACCTGGTTCGTGTTATTCACCACCGAAGTCACAATGTTGGATGTAGTGCCGAAAAAAGCCATCGTATGCCAGGTAGGAGCATGGCAGGAGAGTACAGCCGCCTTGGCGGAAGTCAGCCGGTCATAAGAATAGATGGTCACGTCGGCCCTCGGCACATCGCCCTGGTAATGCAGCTGCGGAGCAGTATGGGTTTAACCTGCTTCGTAAATGCTGTGGTAAGCGCCGATTTCGATAGGCACGGAGCTGTATGGGATATCGAGTTTTGACAGCTAAAATCGTCAGACGGCTGATGAGAAGGTCGAATAAGCATGCGAGCGAGGTCAAGCCAACCCTCTTCAGACCGCGAGTCGATAGGTCCGTGGAATATTGCCACTAGGTGCAACCTGAGCTAAAAGAGTTAGATGCATAAGCGCGTTACGCGCACTCGACCAAGGTGTGTCCTTTTCAGGGAGGTCCTGACACACGCAAGGTCACGAAAATGCTGTGAGATGTATCGCAGTGAGGCTGAGGCATACCGCATCTTCCATAGGGGAACCGGTTGGGCAGCTTTTGTGTCCCAAAGATGAGGCGCATGCAGATGGAAATCGGTCCGGAGGGCCACACCATATTGATAGAGGGTGCTGGAGAAGCAGTATTGCTAGGATAGGCTCCTCTCTTTCGCCACCTGTACCCCCCAGGAGTTGCAATTTCTAGAGGAAAGCACAGCCTAGCTTCCCATCCAAGGCACCAACTGGTTGTATATAGAATTGCCACGCATGACTACTGTAGCGACCATCCGTTGGAAGCGCAACATCGGTATAGAGAGCTATAAATGACCAAATAGCCGATGGATGCTTGAGGCAATACGGAGAACAAGGATGTCAGATTCGATTCCAATATACAGATTATGTGATAGGCCAGTAGGTTAGCAAAACCTTCGATACAGGATTGATGTGGTATGCTGCTAGAGGAACCAAGCAAAAAGCAGTGAAGAATTGCACATGGCTAACGAACCGAAAATTTAAGAACCGAGGACGTTTGAACTCTGGGGGCGGAAGAAGCAATGCTCCGGAGAACGCATGATTCTTGACCCGTTGGCCGACATGCTTGTCGGAGGGCGGTGCGTGTCAATCGTTGTGGAGAGGAATCAGTCAGTGAGCAGTTTTTCGAGGCTATCATAGGAGTGGTGGCGCCAGCTTCTGTTTTGACTCCAACTCAGTGCACGTTTCTGGGTTTTCTATACCGTGTGAAATGTGACCTTGAGAGTTTTGGGTCATAATCTTGAATCTGTTATACGAAAGAGATCCCTCTTTCCCAAAATCCTTATTGGCTGCATGTACGTCTTCTAATAGTAATTAGGGGGGGGGCCTTTCTCACACATACTTAGCTGGCAGACGGGGTCAAGTACCAATGACCATGCAGCGGCACGGGTAGCTGCTAGTGTGGTATGAGAAAAAATGCAATATGCTCATATCCAAAATAATATCAACCCCCGACGGGACTCGAACCCGCAACCTCCAGATTTAGAATACGTCGAAGTCTGACGTCATAACCATTAGACAACAGGGGCACATATCAGTAAGCTAGCGCTGGATCCACAATCACAATTCCGATAGCTGCGAACGAGCAGGACAGTCACATAGAGGTGAATATGAGTCTTCAAACGCGCGATTGCGGCTTTGCGAATTATGCCATACTCAGGTAGTGGTGTCAAGATAAAAGGACAGAAGAGTACGGACGGGCACCTGCACAAGAAGGAAGTACACGGGCTGCCCCAGGATATCGAGGATCTTCATCGAGTTTCCTGGATCATGTATCGTACTGGGAAGCCTTTCATTACCTCCACCTTTGGGTGGCCGATCCCAGAAAAGGCGCAAAGCTGTGAAATCGTGATTTACGTGCCAAGTTTGAAAGCCGCCGAGATGGCATCTTGTAGCACTTTTGTCACGCTATTGACTGCGCAGATGGCGAGTTAAGGAAAGATCCATTCCACGCGAAGCTCGCTTTGTGGACGCTACCGCATACGTGCAAGAGATCACTGGCTTCAAATCCCTGAAAGGGCCCAAGGCGAAGAGCCCCCGAAATCCGCACAGACACGACATGCGAGGTCGAGAAATTGAGATGTGTGCCTCAAGATACTGCGGCAAATTGTATGGTGCCAACCGCGGGCTGTGCGTCACGAAACGTTTTAGGTACGATGTTAACAATCCGAGCCGCGTTACGTGTTCCGCGCGGTCAACTAGGAAACCGGTACGCACGCTCCGCCGGAGGCCCGCCCTGGAGGTTAGGTCTCTGAAAGAATTTGTACCAAAAGTCAACGAGCGGCGCAACATAGGTAATCTTACGTTACGGCGAATGAGAATCTTTTCTTGGGTGCGATCGCATTATAGTTTGCGCCATAAGAATCGGTACGGTACGCCGCCGTTCGCTTGAGCAGAGTGAGATTCACGGCTAGGTCTAGAGCAATGCGTTTGACATGGTTTGACCCGGTTCACCTGCGTCCATCCATGGCAGTGACGACGCCACTGCAGATCGCGCTGGAGATTTGCGGAACAATCCAGATTGTGTTGGAGCTTGCGACCATCGCGTCTTATAACGGCCTACATGTCCCACGGCGGTTCCATCGTTCGAATCAGGTCGAGTTCTTTGTTCGACAGATTGGGCGCGCACGAGTCTAGCCACGCCCGGAGAGCCGAGGTTGGAAGTATCAGCTTCTGTCGCGGAAAGGCATAAGAATCAGACATATACACACGAAACATATGATCTGTTGGAAGAAGACAGACACACCTCGCCTGTAGTAGGTATGCTTGGAAGATCTGAATATCATCGGTCACATCTGTGTCGTTATCCACATGTGATAATCGTTTACCATACGCAGAACTTTGGATTGCAATAGTTGTCTATACTACTGGCGGCACTTGGTAGGAATGAGGCTGCACCTTGAAGTCGTAGGTGCCAAGTAGGTGGTCGAGTCACTGCGCTGGCAGGTGGTTCTATTTTAAGACGTCATCAACTTGGTTAGAAACCCATATTTAGCCACGGTCCGACTACTTCTAAGCGCCGGTCTCCTCAAGTGACGGAGTCAAGTCGTCTGAATGACACCATACAATAAATAACATCTAGGATCTATATAGGTGTATGCTGCCAGGGTGTATCATATCAGTATGAGCGTAAGGGAGAAAATTTGCTTCTCATTTAGGATACTCACTGCCAAGGTTTCAGAACAGGATGCACTCGGGACTTGTTAGCTCTTGTTAGTTACGAATATAAACTTCCTGGGATCTTACTTGACCCTAGCCCTCGCCCATTACTTTATGCTATGGCCTGTGTGCGTCTGATACATGCTTCTATCTCAACTCACTTCAGCTTCCCGGGACCTCAATCTGGCTCAAATCTCGCTGATGAACAGTGATGAACTCCATGAAGCTAATGATCTGCATGAAAATACCTTAGAAACGCAAGGAACCAGAATGCGGTAGAGGACAGGAAGCAAGTAAAAGAAGCACACCGCCTTCAAAACTTCATCATCTCCCTTCTTCTACTCATGTCGCAAAAATGGCTGTTCCATGTGCGACTCTCGGAGATCATGGATCGTATGTTGGTAATGTCGACACAAAAGGGAACTGTGCGCAGCTCGGATAACAAAGAGAAGGGCCCAAATGGACAAGGCTGGGCCCACCTCCACCTGCGCGTACTGCCTTTCCTTCAACCATCTCGACCGTGGAACTCCATAGCCCCGATTACGCAGGCTCAGTCCTGAGATGCCGAAACTCGGTCGCCTCTACTCTGGATTTGTCTGCATAAATCCAGCTCCGTGAAAATGTATACTCGGACTGCTGTGCTTTTCAGTAGCAGTAGCTCCGTAGAGACTTGACTTCCTTTCTGATGCCTGGATGTCCAAGGCGAATTCCAAGACAGAATTATATCCTGACTCGCGATAATTTCATGCTTTATGCTAAGTGTCCATGATATTCCCTCTTCGGAGCTCCCAGTCAGAGGCTGTATATCTACGAGTTCGTCGGATCTGCCAATGTCACGACGTTGTCCGAGTGCGAGAAGTCCCAGACCTATGGACTACGTAAGTAAATGGCCCATTCAACCCTGCTTCACGGCGATTGCTCGTATGAAAGTTCGTCTTCATTGAACGATAAGTGACGCGTAGGCGATGCTCCTCAGTACATGTTGATACTCAGCGAACTAGAGTATTGTTTGAAAGATAGAAGGTAGTCAGCGAAGACACAAGTTTTTTGAGCCTGCAGAGGCCACGGGCGTCAAAGTGGGGTGCTGGCGCCAAACTGTCCAAGATATTAATATCCGGCCCGAGATCGACACACTTCACAGCAGTCGATAGAACCGTCGCAGGCGCTCTTGACTTGTACCTGACCATGGAATGTTAGCATAAATCACCGGAAGGCCGTTCGACGCGTCGCGCTCTAATTGACACGTTGATTCGTACCACTCGGAACAAACGGCACGTCCAGCGCTTTGACCAGCGCTTGCCCTCATAGCAAGTAGAAATGATCATAGTCCAGGTAATGCGAGCAGTGCGGGCTGAAACCCTGAATATCGCAGAGCTCAGGTAGTATGCCGCCCACCATACTTGGAACACGTCCAGCGATTTAAGGCGTCTATGAACTCTATCAGATCAAGCAAACACGATCGCGAGTTGTGACACCTCGGATAAATGGCAATAACGCATGTCCATATTAGGCGCCAGAACGTTGTAGTTAGCGCCTCGAGGCCTTCCCTGAATCTTGAGCTGGAGGCCGTGACAGTGACTATGTAATCTTTGTATACACGATCGAATGAAGGGGCCGCACGTTTTCCGCAGTTTAGAGTATGGCTGATGATGTAGCCCCAGATGGCGTGAGCCTCGAGTTGAGGCAGCGCCACCGTCCCGTCCTCGTGTATACGTGCATGTGGCGAGCGCGTCCCCCGTCTTCGCGCCACCGTAATTGTTATCAGTGAGCAGGAATAGCTACCTTTTGAAATGCGCGGAGCGAGCTTGGAACGTGGCTGGAGACACTAGCCATGCGGATACTGCGAGGCCTCGAGGATCTGCTTGATCTGGATCCGATATGGAGGAATCGATCGTTGAACGCCGTATCTGGCGTCAAAGTATACTTCTATGGTTGACTCGTGCCTTCTATGCTGTAGAGTATAGATTTACGGTGTGGGGAAAGGGGCGTTTGGAAGGACGAGAGCCAGATTGTAACTCCGCGGTTCGTCGGTGTCTGTCAAGCAAAGACCATTGGATAGGGCATGCCGTTTGGTACACGTTGGGAGGGGGAAGGAGTGCGTTGAGTGTCTATTTTCGTCGTCGATGTTTAGGGATATGAGCCCAGGAGTTGAGCTGGTTTCGAATTTCGGAAGGCGTCTCAGAGAGCATCAGGTCAAGGCATTGATATCCAGGGAAGGGAGAAGACGCTGCATCTGAGCATAGACGGACCGAGCCTGCCAAAGACGCTAGCTTCGAATGTGTTGAAGGAGAGGGGGTTATACCGCGGACACCTCGTCGGCTTTCATAGATCAGGATTTCATGTCGCGGTATGCGTCGTGGTGTGTGGTGGGGGATGAGATTGGGGATGGGTTAGGATGGGTTGACCCAGGAGCCAGGCGCGGGCCATGGATGTAGCAGAAGTAAAGTGTGAGGTGTGAGATGCGCAAACCTTGACGTAGGAAATGATGAATGGGTGTGCATGCATACACTACGTCCGTGAACTACTACTGTCATGGGAATGGCATAGGCGTCCAGAGAGCGAGTGGCACGTGTCGAAAAGGTATACTTGCATAGGCACAATGTGTCCTTGCCGATAGGTATAATCTAGGCCTGCTGGCAGAGATCCGAGACTTCACACCTTTTTGCTACGGAGACGTGATCATGTCAGGGTCGAAAAAGCGGAGAAAGATGGCGGGGTATGTGGTAAGTAAACGAAACGTCCAAGCATTTTGTCGAAGCGCGGAGCCCGAGAGGATTATGTCTTGTCCAAGTCTTGTCCAGGAGGACAGCCAAAGGATCGCTCTGCGGCCAAGAGGTCTTGGAAGAAGGGGAGACGGGGCTGTGAAACCAAGGTAATGTTTTATCCTGGTTTTATCCTTCCGTTTCGCTCGATCGCTTAGTTCTGTCCGAGATGGTTGCTGCTTTCATGAGAAGGTACATGAATTCAAATTTAGCATCGACGGCAGTGCGATCCCCTAGAGCGATTTGCGGCAAAGCGCTTATTTGTGGTGTTGACATCGGTCTTGGGTACCTCTTAAGGTATACGAAAAACAACGTGGTCATGGCGAGGTGCTGAGAATTGAAGTAGTTGGGTGATGAACCCCGTAACGAGGAGTACATGGCAGAACAAGGCGTCTGCATCGTCGAATGCGCTATTGATACATGAGCACGTTGACTTTGGTGTGCTGATGTCGCGAGGCGGCGGATACTTATGAGTACATGAAATGTGCGTTGTAGCGGTGCGCTGATCCTAGATCGGAGCATCAACAGCAAGATAGAAGGATCACCGGAACGATGGAAAAGGGCCGATGAGTGTCTCTAATGACGAGGTGATGCAAATTTCAATGTTA